GTGTGTGTGTTTGTGAGTGGTATGCGTGTGTGTTGTATATGTGTATAGCCTGTGTGTGAGGGTGTGTGGCATGTTTGTGTGGTATGTATGTATGTGTGTATAGCTAGTATGGGAGAGTGTGTAGTGTGTGTGTGTGTGTGTGTGTGTGGTGTGGAGGAGGTGTACATATATAGCCTGTAAGTGAGGGTCTGTTTGTGTGGTATGTGTGTGTGTGTGGTGTGTATGTGTATGAGAGCATACATGTGCTGTTAACACGTCGTCTTCATGCTGTGTTACAATAAAGACAGATGCACATGCAAGTCCAGGAACACCAAGGATCGCCAGCAGCTACAAAGTCCTGGAGTCCAAAAACCAAAAGGGAAGAATCCATTTAGTGTGTTTCAAGCTGAAGAACAAGTTAAGCCTCAGGTTTCAGTAGTAAAAGATTCTATGGGCAAATATTGAATTATTCAAGAACTATGACAGACAGACAATGAATACACAGAATCACTGCCAAAACGAACCGGTCGATGTCTTAACCATGTCACGAAGGAAGCATCTAATCAAGAACCAATGGTACTGTCAGAAGAAATCCAAACTGCACTGAAGGCGTTGGTGGGAAACAGGCTCCAACGATGGACACAATGCCAACTGGACTGTTCCACAAACCGAGGCAGCGCTGCGAGTACTCATTTGTCTATGCCAAGAAAGCTGCAAGACAGATACCTGTTCAACCCTTTGAAAGAGATCCATACCTGTGTCCTTTTAAAAGACAAGTGATCCGATGGTATTCAGAAACTACCAAACAATATCACGTGCAACTACAGTGTTGCCGAAGATCATTCAAAAATGACTGTAGCAGCCCATCCATAGGAAAGTGCTTGAGATTGAAGCCTGATTCAGAAGAGGCCATGGAACGAGGGATGTCATTGCACAGTCAGATGGGTCTTGGAAGGAAATACAACGAATACCAGAAAGATCCTTGCTTGTGATTTAATGACTATTCAAGGCATTTGACTATGTGGATCATAGCAAATTATGGATCACATTGAAAAGAATGGGAATTGCAGACATTTGATTGTGCTCATGGGTAACGTGTGTGTTAAGAGGCAGTCAGTAGACCAGAACAGGGGAACACTGGTTTCAAACCAGAAAAGGTATATGTCAGTGTTGTCTCCTCCACCATACTTACTCAGTTTGCATCCTGAGCAGCTGGGTTATGTGAAGAAGAATGTGCCATCAGGCTTAGAGGGAGGTTCATTAACAGCTTGTGCTCTGCAGATGACATTACCTTGCTTGCTGGAAGTGAAGAAGACTTGAAGCCCTTAACCAAAGACTACAGCCTTCCCTAAAGAAAATAAAAATCCTTATAATCAAACCAGTAAGCAACATCATGATAAACAGAAAAAAAAAAAAAAAAAAAGATTATGAAGATCTCAAGGATTTCGTTTTACTTAAATCCACAATTACTTAAATTTACTTGAATCAAACAGCGTACTGCTTTGGGCATATCTACTACAAAGTTCCTGTTTAAAGTGTTAAAAAGCAAAGATGTCACTTGAGGGCTAAGATGCACCTGACCCAAGCCATGGTATTTTCAGTTGCCTCATATGTATGTGAAAGCTGAACAATGACTAAGGAAGACCGAAAACCAGCTAATGCATTTGAATTATGGTGTTGGCAAAGAATGCTAAATATACCATGGACTGACAAAAGAACAAACACCTTTGTGTTCAAAGAAGTACAGTGAGAATTCCTCTTAGAAACAAGCATGGTGAGACTTCACCCATGTACTTTGGACATGATATCAGGAGGAACCAGTCCCTGGAGAAGACATCGTGCTTGGTAAAGTAGGTCAGCAAAAAAGAGGAAGACTTTCATGGAGATGGATTGCCACAGTGGCGACAACCTTGACATCAAACGTAGGAATGATTTTGAGGATGGCGCAGGACAGGGCAGTGTTTCATTCCCTTGTACTTAAGAGTCCCTATGAGTTGTCACCCACTCAGTGCCACCTAACAACAACAGTACTAAAAGCTGAAATAGCCAATAAACCATGCCCTACAGCCAGGACCTAGATTGACATTGTCAAGGACTTCATTCTTCTTGGATCAACCATCAACGCTCACGGAAGCAGCAGTCAAGAAATCAAACGCCGTATTGCATTAGGCAAATCTGCTGCACAAGACCTTTTTAAAGTGTTGAAGAGCAAAGATGTCAGCTTGAGGACTAAGGTGCGCCTGACCCAAGACATGGTATTTTCAATTACCTCATATGCATGCAAAAGCTGGACAGTGAATAAGGAAGACTGTAGAAGAATTGATGCTTTTGAGTTATGGTGTTGGAGGAGAATATTGAAAGTGCCATGGGCTGCCAAAAGAACCAAGAGATCTGAATTGGAAGAAGTGCAGCCAGAGGGCTCCTTGGAGGCCAGGATGGCCAAACTTCATCTCTCATACTTCAAACATATTGTCAGGAGGGACCAGTCGCTGGAGAAGGATATCATGTTTGGTAAGGTGGAGGGTCAGAGAAAAAGAGGAAGATCCCTAACGAGATGGATTGGTAAAGTGGCAGCATCAATGGGCTCAAGCGCGGCAACAATTGTGTTGTTGGCCCAGGATCAGACAGTGTTTCATTCTGTTGCTTATAAGGTTGCTATGAGTCGGTACCAACTCGATGGCACCTAACAACAACAACAGTAGTCTCCTAAAGGTTTAGAAAATAAATTCGTTTTTCTTAAAGCCACAGAAAAAACACTTCTGGTATGTTTTGCTATGGAAGCCCTAGGTAATTGAGACATCTGGGGTAAATCTGATTTCATACAATGTCGGTGATCTACTCCTTCAACCAGAGAAAATGGCAGCTGGTGTCGGTGATTTAAAACACTAGGTAGAAACAGAGGTGCTCTACGGTGCAGTGAATTACTTCATATGGCTTTTCTCCCATAGGCTTTAGAACTCCCACCCTAACGGGTCTGGATGAGAGAAGGTGCTGATAGGATTCTATGATTCAGTCGTAAGTGATTGTTAACCAGGTTAATTATGATGATCCAAACTTGGAACAACAACAAGGACATAAAATCACAGACATAAAATGAACCAGCTCAGAAACAGGAAGAGGCGGATCTCACTACCATCAAGGAAGACCAATCAGGAGTGGCATGCAGTTTTCGGATTCTAAGATCTCAGCTAGTTGGACCTACTTGCCCCAGGAGACAGAGCTGTGACCCAAGACAAGCAGCAACAGAACCAAGAGCCCGAACACGAGACAGAGTGTGACAAGTCCAGCCCCCTGAG